TTGTTTGAGTAAGTTTATGCAACTTCAGGAATTCATATTCAAATGGTTTAATGAACAAATAGTAAAATAAACAAAATTTTTAATTTATTAAAGGCGTATTTCAGAATTTAATTCATAGGACGCCCAAATTTAATGATAATTAAAGTAATTCAGTTCACTCTTTTTCAAATAGTAAAAGTAGTCGGTAGTTTAGGTTAACAGTTCAGTTACTAATGCTTGGAATTTTTCCAAGAACATTTCTTTCCCTTGACAGTCTTTCATGTTACCGATAAATTTGCGCACAGATTTCACTATGTTGTCCTCATCCTTCAATGGATGCGCACTATTTCGCATGATATCCAGAAGTAAAACGGTAAAACTAATAAATACTTCTTCATATAGCTGTGGTGGAGCTGATTCGATAATTTTTAAAACCTTGAGCATTAATTTTTCAATTTTCTTCGTATCATTCTTCAATGGTGGCAATACAAATTTTATTACAATATTTGCGTAATTGCTTAGACAGTGACGATAATTATTAATTGCATTTGGATTATCTGTTTCAACAACAACGCCACTTAAAATGATCATCACATCGGATATGTGAGGCAAGAGACGGTCACTACGGGCCAGCCATTCCGTCTCCTTCATGGTACAACGTACATAATTCTAGGACAAGTGAAAAAATATTAGTCTCAAAAATTAACCATAAAAGTAATATATAATTACAATAATAAGGAACATTTCAGCCTCTGATTTGTCTTCAATTTCCAAACGTATGAGAAAACGATCGAAGTCTACAGTCGGTTGATCTGGTGTCTGTGAGAATTTTTGAAAGTAATACTGAGTTACAGGCCGATAAGATTCTTTAATAACTTTGGTAATCCATTTTCGATCTATAATGCCAAAAATATAACTTAATATTTATATTAGCTTTACAGTACTAACCTTTTTCGGTAGCTACGGGTAGAAATCTTTTTGACGTGTACTGTATAAACTGTATGCATTCACGCACCAATTCATCCCGTTCATCCGTATAAGTGATAAGATCCCAACGTGCCTTATCCATGATTTGTGCGGCCATCAGTAACACCGGTGCAGTAACTTCACCAAATGCCAGAGGTTTATTCGACTGTGTTTCTCCATGCGCTGCAATTAAATTTAGTGCATTCACAATTGGCAGCAGATGTCCAAATCGTTGAGCATCTAACAACGCATTCACATTTTTATTCATAAATTGTTTTAAAAATTCTGTTTTGCGCGAAGGATGGTACAAAACAAAATATATTTCACACAATAACTCAGGAAACTTTTTTTGTTTTAGCTTGCCAGAATCATGCATTGCATCTTCGAGCAATTCGTCAAAATATATATTCGAAAATGGTCGCGATTGTTGTACTGTTTTGCAAAAGTTTCGCACATGTTCCGAATTGTGGCAAGCACATTCAAAGAATTTGGTCCACATCTGAGACGGGTTCTCAAAACAGAGCACCAGAAATTGCTGGAAATCAAATGAGCTGACATATTTATTAAGAAACTCATTTACGCGATGTTGGTAGTCATCCTGACAGCAAATATTTGTGGATTTACCGAAAGCTTTCGTTTGATAAGCTAACAAGTGTAATATATCTTCGGATTTAAAATTCTGTATACCTGAAAGTATTAACGATGTCAAAGACTCATAATCGGTAGGATCTATTTGCATTTTCTCGCTATTTTCCCCTTCACCACCACCTTCTTCACATTCATTGTCGATTGCTTGTAATTGTGAAGATTGCTTGATAAAATCCAAAGCCATTTGACAATTAATAGGCGTCAGTAGCTTTATATGTTCTTTAATGGATTCCAGGCATTCTTCATTACCAAGTGCAATGGACCGGTTAAAAAGCTCATCGAACCATGCTTTTTTTACATGTTGCGGCGATTTTTCGTCTAAGTTACGTAAAATTTCTCCCAATGTTGCGCTCTCAATTGTCTCACTAAGGGTTTTCGGTTTAATAGCCAGCATTTTTAGTTGCTCTTCGACATCGTGTCCAAATTTAGGGTTTGCCCGCATTCGTTCGCCAACTTCATAAAACATTTCACCAATTGATAATTGCAATGTTGTTGTAGGAGTAATATCTACTTCAACCCAATACATGAAGACATCTACTTTAACTAACATAACATTATATTGTAGTGAATTGAGGAGAGCTTTTATTATCTTTAACTGCTGCTCTTTCAGCGCATCCGATGGTTTTGTTGCTTCATTATCTGGCACAGGCGGACATACTTCTCGGCCAATTTCATATATATCTATATTAATATTTGGTTTTGCTGTCTCTGGCGATTCAAATAAATCAAATGCAAACAACGTCATTTGAAGTAGATGTTTTAAGGCAAAACCAGAGTATCGAAAAAATTGCAATTTACTGAATTGCTTAAATTTTTCAGAATCTGGTGTATAGAATTGCCGGAGTAAATTCATACTGTAATCATACAATTTGTTGTAAATGATTTTTTTATCTACCATGTCAATCTTGCGATATTCGGAACGTGATATGCAAATGAGCAAAGAACGCATTAGCTGCTCTACTTTTTCCAAAACGTCATATGGATCTTCAATAAATTTCATTGTATCTGCAGCGGTCTCAAAATACTGGAAAGCAAACCAACAAGGGGTATAAGAGAGTGCCTCATAGAAAAACTGATCTAGCTGCAACTCCCAAACTAGTGTAACTAACAAGAATTTGGGTAGTAAAGGGCACTGTTCCAACACATTCGCAATTGCGGTGTCACTGTGCAAGTTATATTTGTAGGTAGCGTCGGTATTTGCAAATAAGAATATTAAAACTTTACGTAGTTTTTGATGAGCCTTCGCCAAAGGTTTTTTATTATCCGAGTCAATTAATTGTCGATCGAGTAGTGCTTGTTGCAGACGACGTACTAATTCGTTGATAATTAATTCATTACCTAACAGTAACATATTATACCTATTAATCTTTTTTAAATGATTAGGAATTAGCCATAACTTACCGCCACGGAAATGTACTTTAGAGAATGGTTTCACATGTTGGTTGCAGTAAAGTAATACCGATTTTGTATCGTCGAATTCCTCGCAATAATCCATCGCTGACTCTTCGTTAAACAATGCCAAAGCTTTGTGTAAATCACGCATTTGTGTATTATTTCATTCAAAATTTCATACGAGAGTTTTTATTTTACGTGTAAAATCTGTTTACTTCAAAATTATAGAAACCTACAAACGCAAAAATTTGATAGACTGAGCAGTGCTACCAAGGTTTACTCTGCCGCTACAACAACAACAGCAACCAAGTTTTACCACTCACAAGGGCTACCTTTTCAATATCACAACAAAAATTTAATATCACATAATAAAATGGAAATTGTGTGAACAGAATAAAATGTGAAATAATTG